TTCTGTACGAGCAGAAAAATTGAATGAAAAAGGATTTATAGATTACTCTGAACCTTCTTTATTTATAGTAGATGGCAGCTCAACAGAAATCAGTCCATATATTTTAGCCATGTTTAGTTTTTTAAGACCCTCATTTTTCAAAGAAATCTTTCACATTTTTTTAGGGTATAAAAGGAATTGTTTGAAAAGAAATTTCTATGTTATTTTTTAGCTGTATTCAAATCTCCTTATTCTATATTCGTTTTAAATTTTTACCTTGAAATCTTGCCTAAAATCAAAGGGCAAACCCTAGGTGTGCCCAGACCGGGCTCACCGATAATCTAGGACAACTCAGAGTATGTATTCTTTGTTTCTCTGCATCTCATCGGTCAGTTCATTGACAACAATGCTCGTTTCAGCACTCTTTTCGAAGCTCTCTTCAATCAGTGTGAGTGGGCACACCCACAGAATTAAAACGATAAGTGCTATCTTCACAAAATTTTACTTGTGTACTCCTCTAGGACTAATTAGACTGCCTACCTTTTCCTTTTTTTTAAATCTAAACTCCAACTTTGAAAGGTAGCGTGCCGGAAAGGGTTCAGATGAAAAAAAACCTAATTAAAAGAAATTAAATTTTAAAATTAAAAGAAATTTCAGTTAAAAGAACTAGAAATAATTACATCAGTCTCACCTGACAGCAGTGCAGTTACTGAATGTATAACCTTACTTTTAAAACGTGTTTGATAATCTAATGCTCTATCCGTTAAAATTTTTATTTACGTAAACCGTGAAAGACCTTTTCATGTAAGTATGTGTTTTTCACTTATTGTCTTAGCTTGTATCTATTAGTACACGCGTACAACGTAATCATAAAATGTAGAAGAATAAATGTTGAAATTTACAATAGAAAAATATTAAAGCGTTCGTTAAAAATGTTTTTTATTATTTCCTTTTTGAATAAAGCTCTAAGTAATATAACCCAGTAACTGCTGTAATAATAACTAAATAAAACTAATAATTTTCTATTATAACTGACATTTAATAAGATACAATATTTTATAATCCACAGACATTTACTGGTAGTCAATATAAAGAAAAAGTAATTGAAATACTATACGTATTTTTTTATAACTTTTACAGAAGTTTGACTATTTAAGAAGAAGATATTTTTCTCAATATTTTATTTATTGAGAAAATATAAGATATTTTTCTCAATTGTTTCATCAAATATAAGCTTAACTGCGAAGCAGCGATAGCACATGAATACAGACTTAACTGCGGAGCACAAAAAAAAAAAAAAAAAAAAAAAAAAAAAAAAAAAACTTTTCTGTGTACGCCTTTAAAAATCTTCATTTTCTGATTTTGGAAAAGATGTTAAATTAATGAATATTGCGCTTTTATTTAAGATATACTTTTTCAGCTTTTAAACTGAATTTTTATATTTCAATCAGAGAAAATTCCATCACAGGATGAAATAAAAATAAATTTCTCCAGTTTTACACGTACATTACGAGTTTCCATCAAATTACCAACTGCAAAAAGAGACGTATAAAAGTCGCATTGTGTTCATTAGATGCACGTTTCTCACACCGATACGGTAAGGGAAAGTTAGAAACACCATTAAGCATTTCTGCAAGCGTACAAACAAACAACCGTTTAAGAACTTCATTGTCTGTTAAAAGAATAATCGAATTCGGATGGAGAAAGTACACAAGTCACGTGATACATCTATCGCGAGATTTCCATGTTAACAATGAAGATTTGGGAATGGCACACTCGCGGAATTCATCTCATAACCCAAAAGTGGGTTACGGCAATACAGATTGTTCGCATCGTCACAAGGACGCGTCAAACAATGTGACGATGGCGTAACACGGGAAGAACAGTCCAAACAAACGGGACGAGGTTTTTAAATACGTTTCGCCAACGGTCAGCGGCGGTTGCTCGTGCGACACGGTGGCATATTTAGGATCCCTCGGACCAGACTGCCTGTTCCCAAACAATGGCCGCATCGATACTGCTACCCTACCTGACGCATCTTCTCAATCCATGGTCCTGTAGAGTCTCGAAATGGCGGGTGGAGTGCGGAACAAAGGTCATAACCTCATAGGATTTTAAATCCATTTGCAAGGTCGCATGCAGGCGAACTTCTGCTTCGTAATAAATCTCACTTTTGCCTTTCTCCAAAGCTCATTTTCTTTAAAAAAAATTTTTAGAAACTTTCCTAGTTCATTAGGGAGAAAAAAAAAAAAAAAAAAAAAAAAAAATCTGAAATTTTCAGATTTAAATTATGTCCAAAGGGGCGTTTTTTTAACGTTTGAGTGTTACCTTTATTTATTAAATTCATGTTCTTTGCACTTAACCATAAAATTCAGTTCAAGAGCAATATCGCAAAATAATGTTAAATTAAGCATATCTTTAGAATTTCCGATATACACAGTCTCGCGAGCTGGAGATAAAAGTATTTTTTTTTCTATATAACGTTGCCATTTCTCGCTTATAAAGCATTGAATTTGTAAATCAAAAATTCGTTAAAGTTTTTACAAAATATAAAATCTATAAAAAACAAATTCCAATTTGGGATTTCAGATGCCCATATTCGCAGTAGGATTTCGTCATTCAAAATTCGATGGCTCTATGTACCATTGTTTTATCACAATGCGAGAAATAGACAATCATTTATGCAGATTTTTCATTATTTAATTTCTTCAAATATAATGCAGGACTCTAACATTTTGTGGCAACAGTTTGAAAAGTGAACCGACGTTTATGAGTCCGACGCAAAATGCCAAAACGAAAGCAATAGTCCTTCGGGACTGAAATCCCTTTGGACTAAAAACATAAATCAGCTTTCTGCGAAAGGATTAAAACTTTGAATTGCAAGACAAGTACGGAATAAGGCTTACACTAAAGCGTACCGAATTATTAATCAGCTAAGTTTTCTGCTTCTCGGAGAACACATTTAATGGAGGAATGCCTAATCGCACTTACGTCGATGTCCTTTTACTCCAGAGTGACATTTAACCTGACGCAAGAAATATCAGTGTTTAATGATCTTGTATAAAGCACCATTTAGTTCACTTAAGAGCTTTTGTTAATATTCATATTAGTTTTATTTTCACTACGATGCCTCAGTAAAATTAATTTCTGATTCTTCGGTCCGGTCCTCACTATACAACAATAACAAAAATCTGACAGCTTTCACATTTTATATTACGCTCAAAGGGCGTTTTATTATTTTGTGTGTTACTTTTAGTTACTAAATATCACGTTCTTCGCACTTAAACTATAAAATTATATTCAACAACAATACCACAAAATAATTTTAAAAGACCATATCTTTAAAATTTCCGATATACAGTCTCGCGCTTTGGAGATGAAAACAGTGTGTTGGCACTGCTCATTCTGAAATAGTTGAGCTTGTTAATCCAAAATTCGTAAGAGCTTTACAAAAGTATGAAATAGATAATAAGACAAAAATTCGGGCTTCCAGATGCCCATATTCGAGTGGAGGACTACGTTATTCAAAATTTGATGTCTCTAGGTAGCGTTGTTTTATCACATTGCGAGAAACATACATAAATTCATGCAGTAAAAGTAAAAGCATTAGCCCAATGGGGTTTTCACCAAAATGTAGAGAAAGACATGGGAATTTTTAATGCTAAAAGATTTTATTTTCAGAGTACAGTAGACTCCCGATTATCCGCGGCGGATTATGCGCGGAGCAGATTATCCGCGCCTGCCGCACAATTTTTTTTTTCAAGCGTAAAGCAAAGAAAATAAAAATGTTCACAAAACTGAGCGAAACGTTATTTGTAGCAAAAATATCCCAGGCCTTCTCGGAACCTTCCCCTCTGATGAGTAAGTGGTTTCTTACTCACCCTTGCAGTGCCCGCTCCACGGCTTACTGATACGTCTTACTTAATCTTACTGATTTTACAGTTATGCTTTTGTAATTACATAATACATTACAGTATTAAAACAGTACATATGTTTTAATTTTTCTGTGTATCCTTGACGTCTCTCGTAAGTACAAAGCACTTCTCTGTTTTCATTAACAAAATGCATTTTAGGTTAGTTTTGAGTGATACACTAAAATGTTAAACGTTAGTTAAACATTTTCTACTGTTTATCTTACGTTTTATTGTACATATACTTTTTCCAAAGTTGGAATAACTGTTTTCTCTTTTGCTATACACATTTTTAGCTTTTTTCGGATTATCCGCGATTTTTGTTATCCGCGACGGTAACACACAGATCGTTAAAAAAACGCCCCTTGGGCTGTAATATAAAATCTGAAAGCTTTCAGATTTTTTTTAAATTATGCTTTTAATTATTGTATTTTCTAGACTTGTTCAAAATTTTAATTTAAGGCATTTTGAAAGCACTAAAGAAACAAAGAGCGACATTTCCTCATATCCTAAGAATAAAAAATATTTATATATATGCGTTTTTTCCTCTCCCTTAGTAATAAATTCCGCTTTGCGTAATTTAATAAGTCATTTGATGCCAATACAAGTTCATTAAAAAAGTCTTCCAACTTCTCGCTGCATTTCAATAGGTCATTTTGGGGGAAAGGGAAGATTTCTGGGTAATTATTACAATTTTAAAAACGCTTCAAAATTTTCCCTGATTTTATGATGATAAAGTGAGATCCTCTTTCGCCTTCTTAAGGCAAAATTAATTTTTAGAGAAAATTTCAATATTTTGTCAGTGTTTATTAAATCAAAAATAATTACTAAAATCAAATCAAATCAAAAATAATTACTAAAATCAAATCAAATCAAAAATAATTACTAAAATCTTGAGCAGCTTAAAAAATCTATAACTATCGATAAATTCCAAATATTGACACCTTTTGTGCTAAATACGTAGAATTTAGTAAATATGTATTATTTAATGTTAAAGTAACAGCATACAGAACACAAAATATTTCCAGGCAAATAAAAGATCCAATACCACGCAGAAATCTTTAAAACAAATTTGGAAAGTAAATGTTAGGATATTAACTGAAAAGTTACCTGCGAGGATCTTCAGTGTATAATATCGTGCCAATCGTAACACGTACGGGTAGACAGCAGTGAAGAATACCGCATAATTCTATCCCCTAAAAATAAAAACAACACAAAATTTTTAAAAATATTTGAAAATATTTCAAATAAATAAAACGCTCAGATCCTCCTGGCCACTAAGTGGCCTCATGGTATATATATATATATAAAAAAAAAAGAGTTACTCCCCCAAAAGAACAACAGATACAAAATAAATAATACATAATACAAAATATAAATAAGATACAAATAATACTCAAAACATAAAATAATATACGTATGCATCGTAAAGCGATCACTTGAATTTCCACGGCCAAACAACGAAAAGCAAAAGTCAAATAAATAACAACAACACAGTCTAAAATTCTTGAATAGTAAATTGAACAACTGACGTCCCGCACAGATAAATGTAAAATTATATGATTTGGCTGTTTCTCGCACGAAGATCGACTCATAAAGAATCATCATCTGTGAGTTCAGCCAAAACTGAGAGATTTAAATTTTTGAAGAATGTTAGAACAGAAATTTAAAAATGATGAGTATTATTCACGTTACATTATTTTTATGTTTATTATTATGTTCTCTGAACGCATGAAACTAAATATTTTAAGCCCATAAATAACTTATAATACATTACTTTCATTAAAAACGCATGCGCATTTTTAAATTAACGCGAGAAAAGAGGCTATGAGATCAAACATTTTAAAAAAAGCACTCTTTACATTTTAAACATCATCAAACGGTTCCGAAATCGTTCTAAAATGTATAAACACCCTCTGTAAAAGTTAATGAATCATTGCGATGCAATCATATATATATATATGTAATGTACCAGCTTTTGTCCGGAATAAATAGATTGGTGAAGAATCATAGACGTAGTTGTAGCTCTAAAGTATCAGACGATAAGTTTGAAAAACAGGATCCATTTATTATTATTCAGGAGAAATAGCAGTTACAAAAAATCAGATCTCCGGAGTAAATAAAAAAGAACTACTAATAACTTATTGTATGAAGTTTACTGCATCGTTACATTAAAGAAAAAAAACCCGATATTACTTTGCGAGTCCTTTTATAGTCTCTGGAAAGGCGGAGCTTCCAAGAAATGACGTCAGCCTCGTCAGCCATTCCAGTTCGCTTTAAATATCTCCAGAACATTCTATAACTATACGTGTAGAAAAGGAGGGAAAAACAACTTGACTAAAAGGCTGTGGATTTAATTTCACGTACTTTCAAATAAGAGACCGTCGCTATTAAAAATGAAAAAAACATACAGGTAGAATTTTAAGTGTACTTTTGACTATGGAATTATATTATTACATATATATTGGAGAAAACGATTATGTTCTTCCTGGATACGACACTTGAAATTCATGAAATTATCTTCCTTTTTCATCTTTTCAAGCACAGCAAAACTCTCACATATTCTTTGGCCAAATTGGTACCATATGAAAAAAATCGAAATTGTATAATTTCTGTTCATGGAAAAAATTTGGATATGAGGAAAACGTTGAAAAAGGTGGAGCACACGGGGTGCTGAAGAAGCATTGCCTAAATGCTTCTATTGAAAGAAATCGCAATCTTCCAGTACCTCGATAAATGCTTCAGACAAATAATTATTGTAATTGCATCTTAATATGATTTTTAAAAATTAGATTTATTATTCGCTTCTTTTGGTAGGTATATAGTTTTTTCTTTGTTCATCATTCAGTTTTTAACGTTTTTTGTGAGAAAAATCCACTTTTCTTTTCGATTCGGATATATCGAATCAACATCACGTTCCTTGAAGTTCATTATAACCGTGTTCGATAATACTATGAATCGAAGAAAAAAAAGAAAAACAAAATCGGTTAATTAATTCATTGTGAGAAAGTACTCAATGGCCTTCTTCCTAGGATGGGATGCATTCGTGAGGGACTTCCCACAGATATTACCCATTATTTATATCACACAAAAAGAAAACCATGTAAACACCTACGTAACTACCACCTTCCATCCCAAGAACTGAACATTCGAAATTTAATTAGTGTTAAGACCTTTTAGCCACAGAAGAAATTTGTACACATTTGAATTTCGAATTCATTTACTCGAATTTTCGTTTACTTAATGCGGGGCTCACCAGCGGCCGAGCGGTAAAGTCGCTGAACACTGGTAGTTTGGTCCGAGGTTCGAATCCCGCGAACGGGCCGGCTGCATGGGTGTTTTCGTGGCTTTCCCCATGTGTAACGTGTATACGAGCCAGTTCCCCTTAGAAAGTCCTCCACGAAGGCATCCCTCCCCTTAGGCAGATAGCCCTCGAGGCTTTGCCGTAATTAAATAACCTAACCTAACCTAACGTTTACTTAATGCAACTGAATAATCATTAACAATAATAATAATTATAATAAAACCTGCCAACCAAGAATATTATAACTGAATTCAACAAAATTCAGACCTCATTAAAATAAATTAATACAGATGTTTTTATATCATTTGAAATTTACACGATTATCCGGGTTTTTTTTTTTTTTTTTCCAAACATCTTGTTTTATCGGCATGCTGCTGTAAAACGGATGGCATAAACTTCTCAGCACAGAAGCGACGTTTTATTACAATCCAACAATAAAACAGACGCAAAACACTTTTCTTTTCAATCAAAAACTGTATATAAATCACATGCGTGTGATAGCAGATACCCATTTGTCGGTGACCGCAGTGACCACGGCGTGTGCCATTACTCAAATAACGGCCTTCACTTCAAAGGACAACTTCTTTGCTGCAGCAACCTACATCGGCAGCGCCCACGCCGCAGAATGAAATGTAGGATGAATACATGAATATTGTAGAGATAAAAAGGAAAGGAAACACTCCAATAATTTGGAATTTTTTAACCCGACGGTTTCGAAGATCGCCAAATATGTAAAATAACACTTCATTTTACTAAAATGAAGTTAATATTCAATTAATAAATATATTACAGAAATTATTATAATTACAAAATAAAATACCTTGCTTAAAGAGAACTTGTTTCAGTTTATGTTAGCATAGATAAGTTATTCTCAAATTATTCAAGGTCAATCCGCTTTAAATCTTTATTTCTTTACTTTCAACTCACTAATTACAATTATTGTATCTCATGTAATTTTTGTATGTTGAACTCAAAAGATTGCGCATTTCATTCCCTATGATAACGCACGACCGGTAACAGAAAAGATATCTTAAAGCTCAGTAATTATTGTTAATTTTAACAACAAACACATTTTAATATGTCAACAGATAAGTGTGTTAAGATAAATTTCAAATTTCGCACTAAATTTTACAAAATTTAATATTTGGACATCATTTGATGTCGCAAATTCGAAGTATGAATAAAAAGTCGATATATCATTTCAGAAAAAGTCCGATTTCCTGTCAAAATACCTGTGTTAGAATAAGTGTTATAGATAAATCTAATATATATCTTATGTCGCGCTTTCGAGACATGAAAAATGCGATTTAAATTTCGACAATCGGCGCAGTAGAACGGGAGATTAGAATAGTCCCCCCTTTTTTTGTACCCTACATACCCCATATATATAGACTAATTTTCAAGAAAAAAAATCCTCACTGAAATCCTTTCTCCTCTTACGTAGACAATCATGCAACGCTTTCTTACAAACTAACCAATTAAATATTACATTACAGAAACTTTTATTTTAACATGCGTAAATATGACTAATTAATATCTTAAGCGTATTATATAATACAGTATTACTTCTAATTTAAGCCAGATATTTTATTCAAAATAAATTTATTACGCGCTTAAATTCAAAACGATAATTTCAACATCGTGTTTCTACCGATCTTACTAATGACATTTATGTTACTATCACATTGACATTAGTACCTGTTTAAGTAAATAATAATGTTTCGTATTTTTTCATACGTATTATGAAATCCTTTTTATATATTTTAATTTTTCCAATTTTAAAAATCCTATTGGACTTAAATTCGAAGGCGACTATTCATTTATTTACTTTAAAAATCCTAAAGTACTTCATTATTCGGAATGCAATAGCATTGCTGACCATAGGGAATAAATTTGAGAATTTAATTCGGTTCTTTTCTTTCATAATTTTCAGACATAATGGATATTTTTTCCTCCCCTCTTCCCCAATTTCAGCTGGTGAGAACGTTGAATCATTTTATGTTTAGAGTGGATAATTACATAACTGTATTTTTAGTTTCATGTCATTTGATGTTGCTTATATTGAAATGTCCAGCTGCAGTAAGATAGCTTCCCCGCAAGGCGAATTTAGGGTTGCCATATTTGGCAAGAAATCGTCCATTTGGTGACAAAATTGGCGATATGCCGTGGATGGATGAAGAACATTTTGGAAAGCTGCGGTAAGATAGCTTCCCCGCAAGGCGAATTTAGGGTTGCCATATTACGCGCGAAATCGTCCATTTGGCGACAAAATTGGCGATATGCCGTGGACGGATGAAGAACATTTTGGAACGAGTTCTTACCGGCCCGGAATGTTCTCGAAAGCAACCCAAAAAACTATATAAACCCTGCGTGTACGCGGAGTAGTGGTCGATCGTGATTTTATCGAGTTGATCGTCAGTCTAGTGTTCGAGCTGATCGTCGAGTGTGTCTCGTCAGTGTATTGAGAGCTGGCACATCGAGAGTGTGCATCGTTGAGTCTATCGAGCGTATCGTCGAGTGCATCGCGAGTTGTAGCGTAGAGAGTACGTTCAGTTCCGAGAACGACCGAACAGAGTCGGGAGCTGTACTCTACTGTTTTGCCGTGAAGCTGTCTTCACACCTATAGCCTGAAAGCTGTGGTGCTGATTGTTTCAGTGTGCTTGTCTTAGTTTGTTGATGACTGTAAACGCGTTTTTGGAGCTGTCCTGAGTAACATTGGCTAATAAATTGTGTATTCTTTCTTCATCAAGTGTTGTTTTCAGTTACTCGAAATCCACGAAAGCAACAACATTAACCGATTTATCTAGCAAAGTACCTTGTTTCTCATTACTAGATGCAGAGAAATATATTTACATTTATAATTTTTCAACACTAATGATTAAATTCTCCCCA